AAATACACACATTGGATACATAGGAATTGCCTGGACCACCACTTTAATGAGAACTTCCTTCCCCGCCTAAGATAAAAACCGCCGTTTTTAACCTGCAAGCTCTTCCAAAACCCGGTCCTTGATGTATTGTAAAGTCTCCCACTTCGATCTCCCCTAAATTTTTGAGATACCCAAATACTTACCTAGATCATCAACCTTTGGCATATCTAATATATTACTAAGCTCCAAAGCCAAATGGGCCGGGGTATTTGCTCCAAAATAAACAATCGATTTCTGAAGGCTAACCTGTTGACCTGATGCTCTGCAATACACCTAAAGAAAGGTAGATAAATTCCTGCAATTCTGCTTGGAACCCATAAGAAAAAAATAAAGTATCATCCGCAAACAGAAAGTCTGAGAGCACAGGTCTCGAAGTCGAAATCCTGATGCTTTCCAAGTATCCTTGATGGACTGCCTTTTTAATAAGCAAGGATAACACTTCACTGATAATGAGGAACAAATAGGGGAGAGGGGGTCTCCCTATTGAAGACCTCTAAATGGTTTGAAAGCTTTCCCCGGCCTCTTATTTATAAGAATAGAAAACTCCATAGTTTTCACACAACACATAACCATATCAATCCACCTTCGCTGGAAACCAAGATGCCCCATAACAACCTTTAGAAAGTCCCATTCCACCCGATCATAAGCCTTATTCATATCAAGTTTGATCCCCATCTCGAACATAGTCTTAGTTTTCCTCAACTTCAGGAAATGAAAATTTTCATAGGCTAATATAATATTATCTTGGATTTGTCTGCCTTTGATGAACGCATTTTGACTTGGCAAAATTATATCATCCAACATAGGCTTCAAACGATTCTAATGTGAGAATATGAAGGTAAGAGGTTGGGCTACTCCCCATATTGTCAATTGGTTTTATGGTGGAACCTCAACTTTCTTCATGATATTAGAGTAAGCTGTCTCATATGTGAGCCAAATGGCCACATGCACTCCAGGTTACCCTATTGTGTTGTCCACGTGTTAGGCTTGAAACTTCGCCACATGTGACGGGGTGTGTTGAGAATGAAGGTAAAAGAGTCCAATATTGGTGAAGGGGAAAACCTTGCAAAAGCTTATAATAGATTGGGTTACTCCCCATATTACCAATTGGTTTTATGATAAAACTTCAACCATTTTCACTTGGTCCTAAACCTGGAAAAAACTATATATTGCTCAATATAAATCATTTTTAGGAAATTTTCTAGCACTTCAAAATTTGAGAAAGAGAGTAGTTAAGGCAGGACAATGGTGTTTCTCAGTCTCTTAAACTTCTAAATTGATGACGAATCAAACACCAAGGATAGATTCCTCAATTGCATATGCATTCCAAACTTTGACAAGAGAGATGGCTGATATGAAGATGATGTAGCTGATAGAAATTAGGTAGTTCACAGGATCGAAAATGGATGTCGCTTAGACTATCGATCACAGTATGGTGTGAATGATATGAACAGAGAGTGAGAATGGAATTGAATGAATCTGACAGAAAGGGATTTGACAAATATATAGAGATGGAAATAACCTTTCTGGATGAGTTGTATTCTTCAGGGAAAGTTATAACTTTTTACGTTAAAATACAACTGTTCATATCCTTTTAGAATATTTTTTGTCGAAAATATCCTTTTAGAATTAATTAATTAATTAATTATAGTATTTCCTTTATTAATTAATTAACTTATTTCACTACAATCATATGTATATTATTACACCAATGTTATGGTGTGCCTTCACACATGATTACACATATTTGTGAAAACCATGTTATCATAATCATTTTCCAACTTCTCCCACTTGATTATGATGACATAAATGGTTTCCTATTCTAATTTGTTTCTTAAGAGTATTACTCATAAACAAATTGAATGTAACATCAAATATATGGCTTCATTACCTGGTGCACACCATTCCACTGTATATGATAACATTTTACTCTCTTTAGTAAAATGGCATCATATCCAAGTAACTAGGAAAAATAATCCATACCCGGTTACAAATGATGACTTAGTCCTGCACTATACGCCACTGTTGAGCAAAAATTGTACATAATATGTAAACAAATAATTCACTCGTCATAATTTCACCCTCGTTCATTTTTTTCGAAGAGGGTTTTATTAATTCGAGTTCGACCCATTCTAGGCTACGCGCCTATTAATTACAACCTTTCTTTTGGAAAGGCATACCCTTTGATTCTAATTTGAATAAATCATAACTTGAGGATTTGTGTGTTTGTTTGATTTTGTGACTGCACCTAGGTCGAACCCTAGATTGCCTACGTACCCTCTTGAGGGATCAAGTCACTCGTAGTTCATGGTGTTGGTACTTATTTGGATTTGATGCCTTGTGCAGTTTTAGCTCATACGGGTGAGGAGCATAGTGCCTTATGCAGTTTCAGCTCATGCGGGCGAGAAGCATTTGAAAATTTGATATGGCTTCATGCCATTTGAGATTTTTCTTCGGCTTTGTGTCGTTTGAGACTTTGATACGGCTTCGTGCCCTTTTAAAAACTTTTCTTTGGCTTCGTGCCATTTTGGTATTTGATAGCAGAAGTGAATTTAGTTTATGTAAACCAGGGATTCGTTTCAATTTCACGGTTGCGTCTAAAGCTTGATATTAGACTGCCTACGTATCCTTAACGGAATCAAACCGGCGTAGTTCATTACTGCTTGATTTGGGTTTGCATTCTTGTGTTCAGACTAGGAAAAAATGAGAAGTCAATTGGGTATTCAGACTTGTTTGAAACCCATACATGACCTTTGGTAATATTCAATAGATCTTTGTGAAATGGGACTTTATTTTTGCTTGACTTTTCCTCATGATTTTGTAGCAACTCCATCCTATTTGAAATAGGACTTTTTGAAACTTTAAAAGAATGAAAGGCCGGAGCCCCTCCCCCTTTTTTTTAACTTTGCTTTTGAATTTTCAAACCCATTTGTCATGGGATTTTGAACCCATTTAATCCAAGCTTCTTTCTAATATGTCAGCAAGCCTTTTTTTCTTCTTTCACCTTTCCAAGTCCAAACAGGACCTTTTCGTGGAGTCAGGAAGATAGTTATCTTTTGCTGTTCATTTGAGTACGCGGCGTAGTTTTCAGAATTTTATGAAGTCAACGAGAGTCGTTGTATGTCCTCTTTATTTCCTTGTGAGATTAACATAATCTTCTTTTTGCATGCAAATTCCGTGAATCATCTCCCCATTATTTCTTTAGGAAACAATGATGTTTTTCAATCTTTGGTGTCTTAGAGCAGCTGCTGTAAGATTGAGATGACAGTGTTGATTATTATTTCTTTTTTTATTTTGCTTCTTGGTGCTCGTAGAGCAGGTGGAACATGGACTGCAGTTGTACCAATTTTGGTGCACCTTTAGCCTTCCAATTTTGTTTGACTTTAACTAGTGTCGTAGGCTTTTTGTCCCCATGCCGTAGAGATATCAAGGGGCAAATTTGTTTTGTACCCTTTAGTTAGTTTGCTTCCATATTTTCTTTTCTTCCTGCACCATATTCGATTAAATGGGGCCCTTCTCATAGTGCCCTCGTGAGTGGAAAGTTTTGGAGGGGCTTTTGTTTCCCCCTCATGCCGTAGCCTTTTCATCTCACCATTTTATATTTTTTTTTTGTCTGGTACCACACACATTATGATGGAGTTCTTATAAACTACAATAGAGCGGCCTGAGAACTTTCTTTTAAACAAAAAAAATAAGTCTTTGAGGCAACTTCTCCCACCATGTGTGAACTCGGAAAAAAAACACGAGGGCTCTTCCCTTTCTTTTTAAAGAAACTTGCAGCCGTAGTTCTCTAGGCACCAGAAAATCGTGATGATAATCACTCTGCTACGGAAGAAAATTGAAGGACTGGCTGCTTTCTTTAAACACGCATAACCAACGGTGCGCGGAAGGAGGGAACGGTACGAGCTGCTCCTTTTCTTCTTGTCATGGACGAAAAGTATGGATGGAAGGTACTGCTTCGGGGATAAAGAACTTGAAATCTCAATTTCAAATCTTCTTTGTCCAGGTGCTGCCGCAGCGTCATGGTAAAAAACAAAGGCAAGGCTTCTGCTTGTTCGTCCGTCATTGCTGTTGCTTTGTTCGAAACTGTCCTTACATCATCGGCGGGTTTCAGGACCATCGCTGGGCACGATGGTTTCTTCCTTCCCATTTGTTCGATCGTGGAGGATGATAGTTTTTTTCTGTTGTATCTCTGAAACTTCTTCAAACACCCAAGAAGTTGCTCTTTCTCTGTCGCATTTCTGAAAAGAGAAAGATGTCAAAACTTCTTTAGACACCCAAAAGATTGCTGCTTCTCTGTTGTATCTCCGAAGAGAGAAAGAAAGATATCGAAACTTCTCGCAAGAGATTGCAGGAGGCCGTGGGAAGCGGATCTGTTGCGTTTTGGTGGGATTCATGCCGCCTGGAGTGAGCACTGTGATAATGGTTGTTCTTTGTGAGTGGCTTTCTTCGGGTTCTTCTGGTTTTATGCAACACGGCATCACCAAAACCCATCTCCTTCAAGCCACATCCTGCGACTTCCTTCAGGTTCTTCTGGTTTTATGCAACACGGCAATACCAAACCCATTTCCTTCAAGCCGCGTGGTGCACGGGTTCCATCTGGAAAACCACCGGAGACGACGGTTGGAGACGTGGTACGACTGCCATTTCTGTTTGGGATTTTTTTTTTGTCTAACGTCGACAGTTGCTAGCATATAAGTTCTTGTTACTGCCCAAAGTTTTTTTAAAGACAATGTTTGCCTGCAAAATAATTTTACTGGAGAGCAGATGAAGAGAAAAGAATCATAGTTTTGTACCTTCTGATTGTCGCTTGTAGTTTGCTCTTCTTCCTTGAAAGTCTCCTCTTTTGTTGCTCAAATTCTATCTCAATTTCTGCAGCGTACCTTTCCTTTTCTTTCGTCCTCCGTGTGCTTCAATTTTTGCAGCGTCTCCCTCTTTTTTTCGTGTCCTCCGTGTGCTGTGGTTGATGCCTATTTATAGGCATCTTAGGAGGTTTCCAGAGTTCTTACGTGGGGGAGGATAGAGGCCTTTCTTTTCGCCACTTTCTCTTAAACTGACTCCACTTTTCTTTTTGTTGCAGGAAATGGGGGAGCCGCTGATTTTGTATGTTTCTTCCCTCTTTTGTAGGGAAATGCATATTTATTTTATTTTATTATTTATGGATGTATGTAAAGCCCATCCTCATTTTTGTTGGGCTGGATTACATCTTGTTTTGCCTTGTAGTTTGACCCAATCTGAATGGACCTTATTTTTTATATGTCATGTATTTTTTTGTTCAACAGATTGCCCCCTCAAGCCTTATGCGTGAAATTATTTTGAGCGTAAGGCTTGATATGATCGCATCGTGTATTGAGGTCCTGACCAATGTTGCATTTTACATTTCAGGGAATGAATGCAGATGGCCAAGTTTGTATCCAGCGGGCTATTGACAAGGCCGGGAAAGAGTTTGTCACGGGTCTAGAGTACAGGCGTTCTTCTCCATTTGCCCAATTTTCATTTTGGCTGCTTCTTTGCTCCTCCGTGTTTAACTTCAGAATGCTTGTCATTACTTTTATATAGAAGAGGAAACCACATTTAGCTTTCTGTTTATTTTTGATATGACAAAAGCTCCTTTTGTATCTTTTGGCTTGAGCTTCCTTCTTGAGTTTTAGACTCATTTTTCTCCTCTTATTAGCAAATAAACAAACTTGGAAGTTTGGAACAAAGGATAGTTGATGCTTTTTGCTAGGCTAGAGGTGGTGCTTGGTACTTCGTTTTGTTGACGGCATTCCAGGAAATGACAAGATTGCCGCTGTTGCTGCTTGTGACCGGTGACGTAGCGACCGGGGACGTGCGGAGGTTGCTGCCTCTCTTGTTGAGAGGCTTTGTTTCAACCTTTCTTTAGTTGCAGGTTTCTAGAGGTTTTGCTCTATTTCTGCCGAGAAAAGAGAGGGAGAGACTCTCTGAAATTTTGATTGATGAAGAAGAAGGTTGATCCTCCTAACCTTGCTGGGAATCGGTGAAAGTCCAACCATTTGCTTTGCTTTGGTGAGTGGGAAAGCAAAGCTTCTCCATTTTTTTCAAAAGCTGAAACATAATGACAAAGGATCCATAAACCTCTCTTTTTTTTTTTATGCCTTTGCCATGTACATTTTCTGCTTGTTTTTTTTTCTATCTTTTCGTGACCAAGCATGCATGATAATTATTGCTTTTCAATGTATTGGACTCATCCCCTTTTTTTTTATCACTCTACATAAGTGAAAATCACTTTATGTTTTTGTCCTTAAACTTTTGCTTGAGAAAAGTTCAAACGAATTCTAGCATATGACTATTTGAACAAATGCTTTTGCCATTCTCAATTTAAAATCGTTTTTTTTTAATTTTTTTTTTATGGCTTTTGACCTTGATAATTATTGAAAATGTTAGCATGTGGCAGTTCAAATAAATGCTAATTCCGTTGAAAAAAATAATTTTTTTTTGATGAATTATGGCTGCATCTAATTTTGGGGATCAGATTGCCTACGTACCCTATGAAGGGATCAAGCCAAACGTAGTTCATCCCTTGTTTTCGGGAAAATGGTTTTTACGGCTGTATCTAGTAATAAAACTAGACTACCTACATACCCTGTGAAGGGATTAAGCCGAACGTAGTTCACCCCTTGATTTTGGGAAAATGATTTTTACGACTGCATCTAGTAATAAAGCTAGACTACCTACGTACCTCATGAAGGGATCAAGCCGAACGTAGTTCACCCCTTAATTTTCGGGATTTGATTTTGATTTTGATTTTTTTATGACTGCACCCATTTTTAATGATAGGCTGCCTACGTACCCTTTTTTGAGGGATCAAGTCATACGTAGTTCAGAGGAAAGGATTTTATCTTGACTTTCTTCCTCTGCACTTGCTTCCCTCTCGAAGTTCGTTAGGCATTAGCTTGCCCCCTATCTTTTATTTGGGGTGGCCTTGCTTGAGCTCAGTTGATTCGTCACCATTCTCTTCTTTTTCTTCTTAATGGTAACGCAATTTGAGTTGAGTCACAAACTTTTTCCGTGCTTACTTTCTCAATTGTTCCATAAGTTTCATTTTCTGGAAGTGGAGGTGCACTATTGAAAGTCCTGAAGTTGATGCAGGTACAAACCTGTCCATTTTTCTTCTTGATTAGAAAGCAGGTTAGGAATTGTCTGACAGACTTAATTGGCTCGTTATCAGATTCCTTGCTTTTTTCTTTGCTATCAATCGTGTTGACTTGAACAACGTCTTGTACCTTTTCTTGTGCATCGTCATTTTTGTCACGATTTATTGTCACCTTTTGGGTTTTGACTCTCCACTTTTTGCTTTTATGAGACTTCTTAGGTTGAGAGTTGATGATTTTACCAAGTCGTTGGAAGACAGAAATTCGAGGTGGCTTGCTGCTAGATTCTTCTTCAGTCAACATTGCTTTCTCGAGATCAGTAAAGCCTTCAAACTCATGATTCTTTGTATTTGAGACAAATGCTTTAAGCATATCATTTTCTTGGTGTACTGTGACGTTGATGGCACTCTTTTTAGCTTTGCACCTCTTCGCTTTTATCTTTAATGGAACCTTTGATGAAGACTCATTTCTTTTGAACGAAACAATGCGACCCTGTCGACCATTATTCCTTTGCAAATTTGTTGAGACTACCAAATTGCCCCCAGGAATCGATTGGTTGATTTTGCGTAGAGGTTTTGTGTAGTTGGTCATGAGTGCTTCAAATGCATTTTGGATTTGTTCCATTGCCTTCTTTTCAGGTTCTCTTCGATCTTGTAATGAACAATTTTGACCCACTTTTTGAGATTTCGGAGTTTTAGAACTCGCGATTTTGACTAGCCTTGATGGCTTTACCCTCTCTATAGCTAGTGATCGTAATTCCTTCTGTGGATGCAAATTTTCTCCTCTTCGATCTTGGACGATTTTGCACCTACAAAACAACTAGCACCTTAGGTTAAGGCCAAGAGCCTCACGCGCCCACGATGAATGGGGGGGGCTTTGGCCGAAGAACCTCCGATGCCAAAGTTAGAATTTTAGAGAGAAATAGTGTTTAGAGTATTTGTGATTTTTTGTGAGAGAGTTGGAATGAATTTTTGGTGAGAATATGTGTTTATTTATAGAGTTAGGGTTTGCCCTATTTTGAATAATAGTAGCCAGCCATAGGGTTTTTGTGGGGGTTAATTTCATGTTTAATTTGCCAATTTATTGGCTAATTAAAATATGAAAATAATAAATGGGTGGTTATAAAAATGAATGATTATTTTAATAAGGAAAATGGGAAAGATGAGGATGTGAATAGTGGGGGCCGGTTTTGGGCTATTAATTGGGTGATTTTAGGAGATATGGTAGGTTTATATTATTTAGCTAATTGATTAGCTAAATAATGAAATAGAAAATACTAGGTTTTGGGAAATACCTTATAGAAAGGATTTGATGAGAGAGGTTTTTAATTGTTACCTTTTTTGGGCACTTTTGACTTGATTGAAAGATGATTGCCCACTGCTCGCGCGTAGGAATCCTTGTATGCTTCGAGGGTATTTTTGTCCTCTTTTGTCCAAAAGTCCACGTGTCGCCTAGCGAATATTTTTGGCTCCACAAATGCCCCCACACCTGTTGGGCTGCTTGCAGAAAAGGGCAACAGGTGTAGAGATTTTCTCGCTTTAGGCAACTCTGAATTGATTCCTATTTTGTTGTTGATTCTCTCTTTAAATGGAAATTAGATCCTTCTAGGAAAGGGAAATAAAATTTCTCTCAAAGCCTATTTAAGTCCACCTTAAGTGGGTTATTAAATCAACTTTGGAGAGCGATTTATTCTACCCAACAAGAGAGAGAAAGTTAGAGGATATTTGTTCCCCCTCCTCTAGCAATCTTCTACGTCTTGCCTGTGCAAAAGACCGTCTTTCGTTGATTTCTTCGTCTTTTCCGTGCCGCACCGATGTAAGAAAAAATTAATTTTTCTTGCCTTCTTCTTGGATAGTGCTATTGCAGGGCAGCCATCGGGGTGGTGCGGCACGTCGGCTGGCATAGGCCAGGAGTCGGCTCGGCATGGGCCGATGAGGTATTGTGGTAGGGACCACTGCTTTAAGCTGCTTGACTTGGCTAGAACCAAGGGCAGCTTGTGCAGCTGGGGTCGAGGATTATGGCGCTGGGGCGCAGTGTTAGGCGAATCGCATGGCTCATGTCCTTTGGGCTCTTGGACTTGACTCGGGCTAGGCTGGCGATTGAGAGAAATAAGGAGATTGCGGGTCTCACGGGCTGCTGGAATGTTGGGCATGCAGGCCTCCTGCCTGCTGGAATACTGGGTTGAGCTCCCCTGCTGAGTACCATGAATGTCGTTGGCTGCTTAGTCATCTTTGCTGAAAGAAATGTGGGCTGCTCCGGAAAGAGGAGGTAAAGAGGATCAAGGCGGATGCATTGGCTCATCTGATCGCTGTCGTGGAGCTTACTATGAATGAAGATGGAAAGAAGAGATCTTCCCCACCTGCTCATGAGATGCCAGTTAAGAAAAAACTGAAGACTTCTTCTGCTGCTCATGAGGGTCCGCTTGCTACCGAGGGGTATGTGATTGACATGACTTCTTCCAATGGGAAGAAATGTAAGGCTGCTAGATCTGAGCATGTGGCGTCTTCCATGTTGAGAATGGCTAGTACAATTGTGGATAAGATTACTTAGCGTAAAGGTTTTATCATGCCCCCAGTGCCGAAGTTTGTACCAGGACGTTCTTTGGGAGCCAAGTCCGGTTCACCTTTGTAGAGACTTGCTATTATGAAGAATGGTAAGGTGGACTCTGCTGCTAAAGTGGCGCCAAAGCCTGCTCCCTTTGCTGCTGAGATTGATTCGCCTCAGATTCAAGATCTTAAGCTTGCAATTTCTGAGCTTCGTTTCGCTACTTATGCTAAGAAGAGAGTGGATGAACTGTAGCGCGTCCGTGTTAGTCTGCTTAAGAAGAATGAGCAGCTGAAGGGTGAGAAGGATGGGCTTGAGGTTTTAAGACCTTCTCTATTTCTCCGGAAGACTTGTTTGCTTTTACTTTTAAGGCTTCCATTGGTGAAGTAGTTGGAGAAGTTAGTGCCCAGACTAGGGCAGCCGGGGGTGAAGCGCCGGATGATGCCGCTGCTAAGAGCGTTACGGCTGTTGAAGGTGTGGCGATCGAGTAGTCGTGGGATGTCCAAGCTGTTGTAGTGTAGTATTTTAGGTAGCCTTTAGGATTTTCTTTGTTTTTCCTTGTAGCTCTTGTTTTGCTTGAACTCATTCGGCCTTTGCTAGTAGTTGTTTATAAACATGTTTTCCTTCGTTTTTCTTCATCTTCACTTCTTTTGTTCATGCCCTAACCTTTAGACTTGATAGACCAGTGGCAGGCATGCTACTTTTTTATAAGCAGACAAACTCGCGTAGCCTATGCAACCGTAGGTGTTGGTGTAGAACTTTGCAAAGTTGTTAGCCATAGGGTTGGCAGCCGGATGCCTTACTTACAGAAGTAGACAAGTCCGCGTAACCACTCGGCTGTTAACCTTGACTTTCTTCAATTCCGTAGGTTGCGTAGCAAGTATCACAACACTTTAGGACTTGGTGTAGGTTGTTCTGCGCTTGGCAGAGGTGAAGCTTATCGACTACGTAGCATGTCGGCAGT